GACAGTTACTTAAATCCATTCATTATAATCTGTTCAAAAGTAAATGAAAACAGAAGAAAAATAAGATCAAAAAAAAATTAATTGTCTTAATTTGCGTTTTAAAAACGTCTTTTGTTATCCCCTATAAATTTTTCTCTGTTCGGATTTCAATAATTAAATCCGAAAATTATAGGGATCAAAACTTACCTGTTCAAAATTTCAGCTAGAAAAAAAGGCAAAATTCTAGGTGACCCGTTGAAAATGGGCCCTTTTTTAGATGTTCGAAAATCCTAGGAGAGGCCGGCAAGCAAGAAATTTTACAACAAATGTTCCGAAAATTCTAGATCTCATATCGTCTTCCGAACAGATATTTTTCCGAAAATTGTCGTTGGGTGCCCCTGAAGAAGCTCTGCATGCACGTGTAAGACTGGCCCCGGTTGTTCAAAAGGTTGATAGCGCTATCAACAGGATAAATCACTATCCGGCGGATAGTACTATCCACCTTTTAAACAACTGGGACCTGAGCGGAATAGATGAAGAAAGCTTCAGTGCAATGATGAGAATAAGCTTCCAAAAAACGCCGTTAGCCTTATGTGAGCTCAAAGCGTTATGACAGATCATCAGTCACTCTTCTTAGCTAAGTGCTAAAGGGAAAACTGCTGAAAAAGCATTGGTTGCAACTGTTTGCTTAAAACGGTTTCATCAGTAATCAATTTCCAGAACAAGTATTAAAAAATCTACTCTTTTCTGCAAAATAATATTTTCAGAAACTCTTTCCTCATGGCTCGGTTCATGAAGCCATAAATGATTGGATTAATCCATGCTGAGATGAAGCCAAAAATTGCAGGAAATGTCTGCACAGTCAAGGGAAGTGACACCCGAAAACCAAATTCGACAATTGCAACGATCACTCGCCCCATGTAAGGTAATCCGGAATCCGGAATCCAGGTAATTTTGGTCTGTGGAATCCGGAATCCACGGCTTTGGAATCCGGAACCCAGCTAATGGAATCCGGAATCCAAGCATTGTAATCCAGAATCCAGGTTGCTGGAATCCACTCTGTTGTGATGGTTCCAGGGCCTCTTCTTTTCCTTTTGCGACTCTTGCGTGAAAATCTCATGTCGCAAGGACGCGCAACAGGCATGTTCACGCGTGTTTCACTCGACTGTTCCTATTGGTTTGGGCCACTGACTGCGATCCCAAGCAAAAGAGCTTTATGAATTCCATGCTAGCAGACAGGGCGAAGTACCCCTACCAAGTCACTATTCGTGACTGCCCACACAACATCAAGTCAGTACGTTCTGCAGAGTTTTGGCATTGGATTGACATTGATGGATACCTAGTGAATCAAGTGAATGTAAGGCTACTTTTGGTGCTACGTAGAGAATACGAAGACATCAAGAGATCAGTTTCATTGAAAGCAGTTCGAAACAAAGATCGGATGGATGTAGAAACAGCAGTGGAGATTCACCGGAAAGCGATTCAAGATTCCATTCCAGATGAAAGAGTGAGCACAACATTAGCTCCAGAACTGGAATTCAAGCACTGGAAAAAGAACGGGGCCTCTCTTTTAAGCTACCCGGTAGGATTGGCATTCTCCCCAAAGCATAGCAGGCTGTTTATTACCGATAGACGTCTCCATGCAGTCTTCATGGTTGACATGCACTGTCCAGCAAATGTCACATTAATCGCTGGTGGTGGTGAGCCCGGGCACACTAATGGATATGGCAACAAGGCCAGATTTAGAAACCCAGCTGGTATTGCGGTGAAAGAGAGCGGGAAGCTGTACGTTTGTGACCAAGGAAACGGAAGAGTTAGAGTAGTCAATTTGCGAACGCTTTTCTGTCACGCTTCCCAGATTGTACAAGGGAGCGTCGAAGAAAGCCAAAGTGAGGAAGAAGATTGCGCCGGTAGACGTATCCGTAAAGTCCATGTACACGATCTTTCCCTTATTTCTGAAGGTAATGTACCGGATCTGGTGTCACCATTTGCCATATGTGCGTCTGCAAAGGGTAGCGTTGAACTGTTTGTGTCAGACGTTGGTCTTGGCAAGATTTTTTCAATTTCTGGTGTTGTAGACGATGAGGAAACTAACTGCGTCGGCCAGTTAAATGAATTGTTTTGTTTTGATCGATATAGTTTATTAACTTCATTAGCCTTAACACGTGACGAGCAATACTTGTTAGTTGGAGACGGGAATGGTTCATGTATTCATCTTTGTCAAGTGAGAGGACGATTGAAACTGAGAACAATTTCGAATATTCCAGGCCTCATGGGTATTGCAGTGACAGATGGTGGAACCGTGTTCTTGTCCTCCAGCAAAGAACACGCACTGTTCAGTTTGAAGGAAGAAGAGATGCTTGGGGGTAACGAAACCCTAACAAAAGTGTGTGGAGAAACTGCAGGCCATCGTGATGGTGTCCAAAGTCGATGGAACAAGCCTACTGCTTTATGCGTATATCGAAACACTGTTTTCGTATGCGGTACCGGTAACGTAGCAATAAGAATGTTGACGTCAGCAAAGGGACTGATCCCCCGGCAAAGTAAGATGGCCCAATACGCAAACGTGTTCCGACTCGACAAGAAAGCCAAAGAAGAAGACCTACCACGTACATTTGAAGATCATGCGAAATCTGTCGAGGAGTTGGTTGCATTTCTCTCTAACCACGAACAGGAAGCCCTGGATAGGACGGGCAAGCGAAATACCAACGGTCCCGACATGACCATACCTCGATGTACCCGACAGTCCTTCCTCATAGTGCTAGAATCGCTGACCAGCCTTACCAACACGCTAACGGAGATTGGGCATAGTCACCTTCTGGACAGGATCTGTTTCGAAAGTATGACAACTTTGGGCGTGGAATGCTATTTCAAAGGAATGCGAGCAGACCACGACATGCCTACAGTGGCTAACTACGCTTACAGAAGAGCGCGCTGCGTGGAAGACGATATGCTGCGCATTTACCAGAAGGATTTCTCATATTTCACTGGTCCCAATTCATATTATCCGGAGAAAATTATCAAAGGTGAACCGCCAAACATCAAGACGCGACCAAACAAGCTGTCAGCAATCACTGAAGGAACAGGTAGCAAAGAAGAAGACACAAGGCGAGAAACTGTGATGCGAGAATTTGCTAAGGAGTATGGAAGAGGCGTAAGACAGGAAAATGTCCGCTCAAAAACGAAAGAGCTAACTGGCACCCTTCCTTATGCCCTTAGTATGTGTCCCACTACCATCACAGCCTCATTAGAGGAAAGCGAAGACGTAACAACAGCCTGCCAAGTTCTGGATGCTAATGTGGAATTGCGGAGTACGGCTGTACAGGTGCAAACCTTTTACCAGAAAGACGACATATTGGCAGTAAGACACAACCGTAGAAGAGAGATCTCACCCTTCTGGCTAGCAGTTCTTCTGGAGGATGTACAAATAGAAGTGAATGGTGGAAATTTTGTGCAGCAAAGAGTATCCCTAAAGTGGCTAAACCAAACAAGTGATTCACTAACATACACCTCCGGTGATGTCTGTAATGGGAATTCCCCCAAGTGCATTCTAACCCGAGTACTCGACTTTTCTTCCGATAGATCAGACATCATTTTAACAACAGAGGAGGATAACAGGCTCTGTCGAATTGCTAATGGGGACTACGGTGACGATGATGACAATGAGAATGAAACTGCACCACCAACTGCAGAGGATGAGGGAGAAGTATCCGTCCCGATAAGACTGCCGGGAGTTAGTTTATCAGGACGGAGAACGACACGGTTTATTCTAAGATAAACGTTTCCGTTGCCTGCGTAGCTTGTAGTATAGTAATTGGACTATCTTCACGCTATTTGTTGGTAAGCTGTAACTGAAGTTTTACATTTCTGTGTGTCAAGATGTGTGGCAATTAAACAATTCGGAGACGAATTATGTTTGAACCTGAAAAGCACTGATTTTGGCAATGTGTACCTCTTTTGTTATTGTTGACGCCGTTGTTATTATTAAAATAAGAATAGCCCTTCCTCGTTAGTATTTCTTCAACGATGTGGACTCAGTGGACTTCAGAAAGCGCTCCTATATTCATAATCCTCTCGGGTAAGGCTAAGAATTATATTTTATACTTATATTTTATATAAGACAATGTACACTTCGGGTAAAAAAAGAACAAGCTTTTTAAGTGAAAACAAAGTACAAAGGAAACGTTGAAAACCAGAAAATAGAATTTTGAAATCTGGAATCCAGCCACTTATGGAATCCGGAATCCACAGGCATGGAATCCGGAATCCACAGCGTGGAATCCGGAATCCAAGACTCTCTTGGATTACCTTACATGGGGCGAGATCACACCTGGGGTCCAACAGATACAAAACCCTGCCACAGCGGCAAAAAGTACTCGACATGTCTTAATTTCTTGGGCAGTTATTGTTCTACGATTGCTTGTTGAATGAAGAGAGGGTTGAAGGGCCCTGTGGTGATGACTGACAACTCGATGGACACTACCGTAACAAAATACAATCAAAAGCAATGGCAGAAGAACAAGACAGGCTAAAGTGGTCTTTGTAGTTTGAGTACGTTTCAAGTATGTTCCTCGACAGTGCAGTCCTTGTGGGTCCCATCGGTATATAACGGGAGTGATTATTACAAAAGTGAGCGAAGAGATAAACATGACAATACAAATAAAAAGAATTGACAGAACAGTTTTCCTTTTAGAAAAGCAGACGGGGTATAACCGAGGCTTAACGACACAGACATAACGATTGATCGATGTCATTGTCAGGATAAAGATTGAGACCTCAGTCCAGTACGCAGAAAGAAATCCATTGAATTGGCAGAAATCAAAATCAAATGGCCATCTGCGGTATCCTATGGATATCACATTAAACGGGGAGACAAAAATTGCGAATGTTATATCAGCTATCGCTAAAAACAGCACGTAAAAATTGGTGATACTTCTTAGCCTTCTGTTTCGGTAGAATGAGAGACAAACAAGGGAGTTTCCCACGGGTGAGAAGATTATCATTATTGCTGTAACCGTGCATAGGACAATCTCTGAAAATTTTCTTCCATCTTCTTTGCTTTCCTCCATTTTCAATATCCGTTAGAAGACAATAGCAGTGTATTTCTTTTAATAAAGTCGTCCTGGGATGATGCGAAAAACAGTTAATAGAGAAGTGACGAAGCGATGTTTTCCTTCAGTACAGTCTTAGGAACAATAGAATATCACATTGTGATGATAAGCTAAAAAAACATCTTTAATTGCCTTCAACGTAATTTGCCAAGTTCACCTGTTAAGTAATAAAACTATAACAATACAGGCGGAAAGATATTGTCGTCAAAATTGTATTCAGCACATTTCAGTAAACAAGCAAAATAGGCTTCCCATATTTGGAGCTGAAACACTGAGTGGCCACTAAATTGCATTAGTTTCACTTCCTCAATATATATTGCTAGAATTATTATTATTGGGAAGAACGCAAACAAATTTGCGAGGCAAAGCAAAAGCTTTAATTTATTGTGTGGTTTTGTTGATTTAAGCTTTAATCCTTTGGCTTCCAACCATCATCATGACTGCTACGTTTACGATTCGCAGAGCCAGTAACAGAGGTTTTGCAGAATGGCTCCCTCTTCCTTAATTTGTAACCATCGTTTGATTCCCAAATTTGTTCTCTAAGGAGTTGGATAGACTTATTATTAGATTTTTGTATTTGCTTTAACCATTGTTCATTTAAATTACCTTTTTGAACCCTATTGAAAAATTGGTAGGGGCTAATATATTTTTCGGAAATGGAAGCTAAATGGGGCAAATATGCGTAGAGGTTAATTGACGACCGAGTGTTTCAAAATACACCTCAAATAGCTTTAGAAGGCTGTTTGGTTAATTTGAAGCTGCCTCAAAACCTCTTTATCTGTTCGGGTGTCTTAGGAGAACTTTGGTCCGTTCGAACGTTTTGGGTGGCTCTTTCGTTTCATCTGAAACTGTTAGCTACCTGGATGCTTCCGGTCGAAAGTTCTAGGACACGGAGAAGGCGTACATTTATTAGAAAATTCTATGGCACATTTTGTCCTTATGCCGAAATCGTCAGGAAGCCTTAATAATAATTGCAATATCTTGGTAATAAAATGCGGTTTATTTCTCTAAGAATTAAATTGAATTTGCTTTTTACGGCCTCTTATGAATTCAAAATTTCGCATCAACCCTCAGCTTTCAACAACACCCGGCCCAGAAATGCAAAGTCAATGGTTAGGTAAGACACGTGAAAAAAAAAAAAGAAAAAAACACACTGGTGGAGTTTTTCAGACCACCATTTTAGATCCGTTACTTTTTTCGTTAATGTCACTATTCCGCTTAAGATACGCATGAAAAGGTGACACAACTAAATAACGCACGCAGGCAAATAAGACAATTACTACAAGATGGCGTAATAAGGGGGGGACACAGCCCTGTGGCAGGTTCTAGCGACTTCAGGTTATGCGCACAGCAAAAACACAAGCCTCACTTATCGCCCCACTACCGTGGGGTAGGACAAGAGTATTGGCAGAGCCTTTCTTATCTCCCCAGCGCCGCACGGGCTGGATCGGACAAGATTAAGGCAAATGAATAAGATGGCAAGACACAAGCAATGCCAAAAGCTTGGGGGAAGTCGCAACGCAGACTTAACCGAACCACAAGGAGTGACCCCCCAAACTTTATTGATACCTAACACAACAAAACTCCTCCATAGGGAGGGAGGGTGGGTAACAAAATTACTGTAACTGTTTGCTTTCGTGCAAGCTAGACGAATAATGACCAGGTCTGAAATAGCAGAACTTTATAGCTAGACAGTGTCTCAAATCTTGACCAATGAATACGGTTGTACCATAAGCTACCTAGTCTTATCATGATTAAAGTCTAGCCATGAATAGGGCCTTGAAAATAGGGACCAATCTGCGCGATGCTAAGAAAAATATGATTACAAACATACGACAAATTAGACAGGTTCCAACCACGAACAGCTTTTGTTTGTATCTTAAATTAGCATGCTTTCATTCATAAATAAGGCTTTAAAGATCGAACAGACCATACATTGGGGCAGGCTACCTTAGCCTACCCCCCCTGGGGCTTCATGTTCCATTAACTACATCTACCATCTGGTAAATATCTTATTAATATTTTTCATCTTTCAAATGTCTAGAAGTGCTGCCTCTAAAATGTACGCTGATGGCATTAAGATTACCTCAGCTGTGCCTGGCTTGAATGATGTTGGGAAGGAGAGAAGGGGAGCTGGGAGATTTATGGTGAACGATGTAAGTCTGAAAATTAGAGACCTTTAGATTCGAGGACAAGAACGACTACGAGTATGAGTTTTGATTTAAAGTTTTTTTCGCGTATTCTCAAAATATAAACTCCCCGGAAAGCTTTATTTTGCCATTTTTCACTAGAAAAGTTAGCATTGTTATCTTTAGTGAAGAAGGTTACGCCCCCTCCCGATCGTAGAATGATAAAATGTTTAATCTCTTGTTTTCGCCATCACGACATTCGCGCTACAACTCGTAGTAGAATGACGACGGCTACCACGTTCCCGCCAAAATCACGCTGGTTCGCGCGCGTGCACCACTTAGTATTTAGAAAAGCTCGTACTCGTAGTCGTACTAGTCTCAGCATCTAAAGGTCTCTATTGCCAAAACTGAATTCTTGTGAATTGGCCCTTGAACAAAAATCTCAAACCGAGTGAGGTATGCAAAAGGTACTGGCAAAACAAGCGAAACAACATTGTGTTGTCGAGTGTTACGTAGCCGGCTTGGCTTGAGTTAAAAGGAAAAGGGGCAGGAAAAAAAAATGAACGCACTAGTTATAGTTAACAAAAAGAGGGCGGAAGAGGGAAGAATGGGACTAAAGCCAGTTGTAAGGTGTAAGGCCTGGTTGTCACATAACATCTTATCAAAACTTTCAGTTCCTTCGCTGGAAAATCACGTCACTCCAGCCGTTCTTGACATAAATGAGCATGGTAAATACTTCTACCTTACCAATCTGAAAGAGGAAAGCCTGCCAGGCAGGCCTGGTTTCTCGCCAAGAGGTTGTAGGACTAGGCCCGAGAGCTGCAATTTATATTTAACTTAGTGACGTCAGAGGTTCGACATTTACGAATTCTTCTTTCTTACGTCTATCGTTGAAATGGAAATACTCTTTTTCCTGTTGCTACTCAGAAATTAATTTCTCAAAATCGTCAAATTTAAGCGATTTCCAGTCCTATTTTACGTATTCTAACGGATGAAAGGATTTTAAGAAGCGAAAGTCAAGGTAAAGATGTCTATATTGAGTCAAGAGAGAATTCTCTCTTGATTGAGTAGAGTTTGTTAGTTTGCTGCATCTAGTTAAGTTACCCATGCCACTAGATAATATTCAATTTGATAATCCCTCTCAATGTCTACACAAGGTTTGAAACAAATTGTTATTTTGTGACCGCTGTTAAAAATTGATTTCAAAGAAAGTCGGACGGTACCTAAAATAAGTAAAAAGCAGTAATCTGCATTTTGTGGTTGTGTTGGCTCGGTATTGAAAATGGCCCGTGTGGCTTGCCAAGCGCAACCTTCTGATATTACTTAGCACTATAATTGCTTCTTTAACGTCACATTTTATACATATTCTTCGTTTCGCTTATCAGTAAAAAGAGTGAAAGAGAAAGAAAATGAACTTTTCAAGTGCGTGGGGACAAATTGAGTCTATTTTGTTCATATTGCGGTGTCTTCTGTAATGAACAACTGCGCTCGAAGATCAAAATATGGGAATATATTCAAACTCATTGAACGCATGCCTTACTCCCAAATGATTGGTTATTTGAAAACCAAGCTGTCAAAAATAGCTTGCTCGACTGTATTGCGCCTAACGGCGATTAAAGTGCCCATAACAACATATTACTTTGTTCTACATACAGATTAAGCTATAGTATTTTACTTACACACGCAACATCTTTTAAGATGTTAAAAGAGCTTATAATTGATAAAACGTGCTTTTGACTGTACACTCGAGAGTGGATTACGTCTGAGTGAGTTTGGTTTTCTGGTCGTGCAAGTTTACAAGCGCATCCTGTTGGTATGCGGAAAGTAACGCTAGTTGAAAAACTAAGACGTCTGTTTATCTCAGTATATTTGCTAAAGAGTTAGAAACTCTTGCGTGTTTCATCAGAGCACGCACTTTCCTTGAAATATTAAAACTGATTTCCAAGTTATTAACAGTCCCTGAACTGATAAGGCAAAAACTGAAGCCTTCAAAAAACCTACATACTTCCATTTCCAGATGCAAAGCCACAAAACTTTATAAGAGCAAATTTTCAAAAGTTTTTTTTTTATTTCTTAGATCGTAGTTTTATCTTTCCGGAACATTGATAAATGATCATAATTCTCCACCTGACTGATCAATATAAGCATTTAATTGTGTGTTTAACTGCCGACCCTGATCTACATAGACGACAAGTCTCTTGCTTTTAAATTAGTTTAACGATTAATCAGTTTTAGAGTGCATTAAATGACTTGAATTTAGTCAAACAGCGCACAACAGGTAGGGTTATCGTTTTTCAGGGTTAATAACATTCAATGAGCTCCGTATTAACACAGATGTCGGCAAATTATTATGCTCAATACATATTCCGTTTCCCGACAGAACAGAATAGCTAACATAAGTGTTTTTAAATAAAGATATGATTGTCGCAGTGGTAATTGCCTTAAGCAAATGCAAATTAACCCGAAGAAAATAAGTGTTTATGTTTTGAGGTCAGCATTTCTGTTCTTCATTTTAGGTGAAAGTATATTCCAGATGGCCCTGCAGCCTTATCGGGAAGAGGATTTAAACTATTTTAAATTCTCGTCCCTTGTGCTCAACGAATTTCCAAGAACCTTGAGAAAGACGTTTAAAACGATGTGGGACAACTCTTATGGACATCGCCCAGGTTTCCAGCTCTGGGATGATTCTAATGCTGTAAGAAATTTGTTTGGTTCGATAGAAGGTGACAGAAACAAAGTACCTGTTCATCAGTCTTATAACGAATGGGATTGCACTGCTTTGTTTCAAGCCACTCTCTACTCGAGGGCCTTCGCCTTACATCACGGAACGCTAAATGATTTGTATATCAAGCCACGTGGACTTTCACATGGCCATTTTCACGCATCAGTGGTGAGCAAGGCTGGAGACAACGCAGAAACCTGCGCACTAGCGATCGATCAGCTTCGTATTTTGAGAAATTCCCTCTGTCACTCGACCAGTTCTAAGATGGAAAAAGTGTTATTCGACAAATGCGTCCAACACGCCAAAGATGCTTTCCTCGCCCTTGGAGTTTCAACATCTCCAATTGACGTAGTTGTTAGTTTAACGGAATCAGACTTTCCGACAATTGAAGTTCGTAGACTTGAGCGAATGATTAGAGAAGCAAATTCGGCGCACATCAAACTTCTTGAAAGCATAACGCAAAATACTGCTGACAAAGATGATGTCAAAATGTTGGCGGAAAAAATGGAAGAGCTTAAGACTTTGCAAGACAAGGGTGCTATTCCTTCAATGCCAGGTAGGGTAAGTCATAGTGAACTCCAGAAAAATCAAAGAATGACTGGGTTTGTGAAGCCTAGTTCAGCTCTTGGAATTTACTGAGAGTAGGATAACTGTCAGCTTTGAAAACTAAGCCCGTCTCCTTGTTAAAACCAACCAATTTCTGTACTAGGCTTTGATAGATATTTTAAGTGAACGTGCGTGCACTCATGATAGCTTATTCAACGGCAACAGAAGCTTCAACCTTAAATCAGTCGCTTAAGAATATTGTTTAGGCGAATTTAGTTCCTTGAACTGAGATAAGATAAAGTAATGAGAAAATGCAGGCTACCAGAGTTCCAAGAGTATATCAAGCTGTATGGCCACAATTTCTTGTTTTTGAACGTCTGTAGTGGCGAGTAGGGAGGGGGAGAGACAGAAGTATCTGGAAGCTGCCACTTAACGAACCCAGGTACCAGGGGTCAGGACGTCGGACTCGCATAATTAGGCGGTCCCGGGTTCGAGTCCAGTCGCGTCCACTCGCTGTCCTCGGACACACTTGTAAAAGTTCTACCTGTTAAGGTTTTCAATTCTGTCATGTTCTATTTGAATTATTTGTTTCTAAGTATTTGAGTGGAGTGCTTGTGAAGTAGCTGGATAAACTAAGTGCATGCACTTTAAACTATAAACAAACCTAACCACTTGATTGTATTTTTAAGCATCTAAATGTAATCTCAGTGTAATCTCTGTATCCACAGCTCGTCTTCGACTGCTGATTGATTGTGAAGAATTGATTGGACTTTGTCCACAGGAGGGAGTTTCAAGTGCAATCGTTACCCAGAGGGCAGACCAAGCAATGCTCCAAGGATCCGCAGTTGTATCGACCACCTCTGCTAGCCCCGGGACTGTGGCCGAGGCATTCCAAAAGAGGGAAAACACAGAGGCAGAAGAACCAAAGGAACCGAAGGGAGCGGCCCAAGGGGAGGCAGTGGTTATAAATGGCTTGGGGCAAGAAAAGATTGGAAATGGAGCTGTTCCCTCCCCACAAGACATTCTGAGTTCTATCGCGTCAAAGTACCTACAGGCACTTAACCCTTCAACATCGGAGGAGTTTAATGGTTTTCTTCAGTATATGGAAAAGGTGCGTAAAGTTATTATTGTGGATGTTAAGACTGGAAGCTTAATAGTCATGGTGGAATGTAGCTCTCTTCAGGTCCTGGACGAACTCTGGGAAGATTATAACACAGGTCATCTTAGTGGAATGGTACAGAAATGCCTTGTGACCCAGGAAATTCTAGAGGAGTTTGCCCTAGCTGAAGTAAAAATCACAACAACTATTAACGAAGAGGAGTACAGAGCATGCCGCGAGCTATTCTTGAATCTTCCAAGTAGGTGTAAAGATTATCACACTGTAATTAGCTAATATTATCTGTCAACCCTCTCTTATTTTCATTTGAAACTGGTAGTCTATGGCTGCATGATTCGTGAAAACGTTGAAGAGCCTATTAATTAAAACATAATTAAGTTAAGCTAATTTCAAAGTTCTTCACAGGAGTAAAAGAAGAATTTCCGTGATTTGAAAACTCGACGAAAACATAGACTGAGTTGTTTGTGCCCGTCTTCGTTATGACATCGACTGCTTCAAATTCCCAACTCTGAGCACGTTAACAAGTCAAATGAAGGAATATTGAGGGGTGCGAGGAAATTTTAATGTACCTATTTGATAGATACATAATACGCTATGCCAGCAGAGAAGGTTTACTGTCTGGGAGGGGACTGTAGGAATTTCTCACCCCCCCGGATCCTAGAACTGATGGTACCATATCATGTCAACGGGGATTTTATTATCCTATTTTAGGTAGAGTAGGTACCCAAATTCCCTGTCCTTTTTCAGACCAACTGTGCACCTTGTCGGTTCAAGGCATTCAGATATTGGGGACGGCGCAAAAGAAAATACGAAGAGGAAGTAATATCGAGGGGTGTTCGTCTCTTCCCCTTTTTTTCCTCCGCGCTCCATTTCGCGCCACTCTCTACTATTCGAAAGACTAGAGTAGGTTACTATAAATAAGAAACTCCAATGTTTATACCACTGACCATTTTCCAAAAATGATACGAAATACTAAACCATATTCCTCTAATTTCTTCACCCTATTCCGGCCTAAACTGCTGATGACGGCGGCATTTTAATATCGATTGTACCCTTTTATTATATCTTTGAAGACATGAAAGCATCGCAGCCAAGAATGGAAATAGAGGCTGCAAACACCGATGACATGTACTACACACTTGGAGTGACACAGCATAAAAAACGTGATTTCAAAGCAGCTCTTCAGTTTAAACAGCGTGCGCTGTCCATACGAATTAAATTGTTTGGAGAAGAACACGAAAAAACTGCTGACATTTGCTTCTCACTCGGGTTAACACAACATAAACTAGCTGACTTTACAGCAGCTCATCTGCATAAAAAACAAGCTCTGTCCATACGAATAAGACTGTTTGGAGAAGAATACAAAACTGTTGCCGACAATTACCATTCACTTGGGACGACACAGCACAGACTAGGTGACTCAGTATCAGCAGTTCAGTCTCACCAGCGCGCATTGGCCATCCGTATGAAACTGTTTGGAGAAGGACACAAAAGCACTGCTGATAGTTTTAACTTACTTGGGAAAACACAGTATGAATTAGGAGATTTCAGGTCAGCCCTTCAGTCTTACCAGCGTGGGCTGGCCATCCGTATTACACTGTTTGGAGAGAAACACAAAAGTACTTTCGAAAGCTACCACTTACTGGGGATAACACAGCATCAATTAGGTGATTTCAAGACAGCGCTCCAGTCTCACCAGAGCGCGCTGGCCATCTGTTTTAAACTTTTTGGAGAAGAACACGAAACCATTGCTGACAGTTACTACCTAATTGGTATAACACAGCAAAAAATGGGTGACCTCCAATCAGCCCTTCAGTCTTACGAACAAGCCCTGGCCTTCCGTGTTAAACTGCTTGGAGAAGAGAATGAAAGCACTGCCTACAGTTACCACGCACTAGGGATAACACAGCATCAACTAGGTTACTTCAAATCAGCTCTTCATTCTCACCAACGTGCGCTGGCAATCCGAAGTAAGCTGTTTGTAGAAGACAACAGAAGCACTGGCGATAGCTACTATTCACTTGGAATAACAGAATATCAACTCGGTGACTACGAATCAGCTGTTCGGTTCTACGAGCTGGCTCTGGCCATCTATAGTCAATTGTTTGGCGAAGAACACGAAATCATCGCTCACAATTACCACTCAATGGGGGTAACACAGCATCAACTAGGTTACTTCAGATCAGCCATTTATTCTCACCAGCGTGCGCTGGCCATCCGCAAGAAATTGTTTGGATTAAAACACGAAAGAACTAGAGAAAGCTACCACTCACTATGGGCAACACAGTACAAACTCGGTACCATCAAGCCATCAGCCTTTACGTTTAACTAACACGCCCTGGCGATTTGTAAAAACGTTTTGAAGAAGTTTGGAAAAGCACTCCTTACACTGATTTGCCTTTCATCGTGTTCATATTGCTTTATTATTCATTCAAAACATTTCAAAGCTTAAAATTAGCCTACATGGGTTGCGCAAAAGAAGAGGAGGGGAGATGGAGAAAAGCAAGAAAGGGTATTTCCCTTCCTTCCCAAATCGCTCTTCCTTTTCCCTCCTTTCCCCTTCCCTTTCGACGCCTAGCACGCAAGCTATTTCAAAATACGCTTTAGTTACCTCTTTGCAATCTATGCAGATGAATGGATTCTCCTTAAAGCAGATGGGGTATTTTTCCTGTTTTCGTACTATGTTTGTGAGGCATGACTTACGCAATTTCATCCCGAGAGAGAGAGAGAGGGAGAGAGAGGGGGAGGGAGGGAGAGGGGGAGAGAGAGAGAGAAAGCGGGGAGGGGGGGGGGGTCGGATTAGGTATTCAGGGAAGTTTTATACGGGGAGGCTCTGGCCTGAGGTCAAACCCCTCACCCTTTTATATCCTATTTTTGTCGGAAAAGGCACCTTTTTCGTGTACCTTCTAGTCAGAGTCTATTGACAAATGGTACACCTTTCACATGCCTAGTTTAGAAAGTTAAAATATGTCACTCTTTAAAATATGAATAACAATCACAAAACCAGAACGATTTATCGACTTTTTCACAGTCATGAGTACATTTTTTCAGACGAAAATGACAGATTTCCCTACCCTTTCATAAACTTCAATTAGTAAAATCCCCATCCCTTCATATACCCGAAACCTGACAAAAACAAAAATAAAAATTAAGTAAACCTTTCAGGCAGAGCCTCCGTGTACATGTATAGGCCAAAGGGCGAACTATCTGCCCACAGAGTGTAAACACTTACACCTCTCCTTACCGCTTCTTTGCGTGACGTCTGTAAGCCCCTTTGGCTGATATTTTTAAACACTGATCAGTAGTCATGGGCGTAGCCAGCCTTTTTTTCCTTTTCTGGCCGATCTGTAGAAGTCCTGAAGGGGCAAGGAAGTGGAGGGTGGGGGTGAGGACATAATAGCAAGCCCCGTTAACGCTGACCTGTAAACAGCTACAGCACAGCCGTTACGATTTGCTTTAAAATGTTGCCTTCAATGAGTAATAAACACTGAGTTATCAACAAAAGCCTTTTTGAATTTTTAATAAAGATTTTTATTTACACTCATGTATAAGTATCGTTTTGAATGACTGGCTTTTCACAAACGTATCAGCTTTTCACCCTACTCACAGTGTAAAATCATGGTTGTTTACCATTTACCCTGGTAAACCGGTCGTTTCACGGTTTGGATAAATGGTAAGAACAATTCAAGAAGGGCAATGATTTCGTCCTGAAACAGCGTTTACCAAGCTGTACAAATCAGTCCCATTTACCGAAAAACGGTCTCGATTACCGGCCTGAAACTGGTATCAAAGATGGCTTTGAAGAAACCAGAACAGAAATACAGGTCCGTTTGAAAAAGTTCAAATGAGTTTGGATTGTTCTATTCGTCTGCTTCAGACGGATATAACCATCTGAAGATCGTCTGCGGGACAAACGTCTATCTTTACATGCGACGAACTAAACTATAATAAATTTAAAATTTGTATGATAATATACTGATTTAGCCTTGTTCGGGAGAATAGTTATTACTGAACACCCGCTGGCCGGCTTAGTCTGATTTAGTTGATTGGTTCGACGCGTCCCAAGTTTGACGTCTGACCCAACAGACGATCTTAAGTTTATTAAGGTCTACCCAAATTAGAGTTTTGGTATACGTCTCAGGAAAAGTTCGACGTCTGGTCTAGGCCTTAGCAGATCGTCGACCGTAGTTGTCAAATGGGAGGCAGCCGTTTCAGTGCAGAATAAACACAGATAACCAGGGCACGAAATTAGCCCTCTTTTCAGTACGTAACATAAAAAACAAAAACAAAAAAAACAAACAAGGAGAAAACTTTTTACTAGAAATTATTTACGAGCTGAGACCCTACATAACGCCCATTTTTCAACCAACATAGTTCTAACATGTAATCAAAGTAAACTGAAAGAGGACCCCTACCTAGGTACCTACTTAAAAAGGCAAGATGGCCCAGCGACAGATTCAGTTTTCAAATTATGGGATACGCTGGCGACAAAGCCATACCGGATAGGGCTTCTGTTCAAATATAAAAACGGTGATTTTGGCGCGATTTCTTTAACAGAGCGAAGCTTCGCCATTTGGCGCAATCACTCCCTGTCACATGCGATTGCATGAGCTCATTTTAACCAAAATTTTTGTTAAGCCCGGGCTTAATGGCTGAAAGGCAGCTACGCCACTGGTGGCAAATGAAGTCAAACATTTTTCTAAATTTGGTCAACTCCAGAAGCCGCTAGCTGGCTTTGAAGAATAAGCCGTGGTTTTAAAGGCCAACCAGAGAAAGGGAAATATTTTGAATGCTTACGAAAGGAGGTCATTTTGAATTTCGAGACTTTAAAGCTTGAAAGCCAATATCTATTTCCAGCTTCTGACAGGTTCTGAAATCGAGGACACGGTTCCTTTCCCTGTTCCTTATTTTTACTCTCAATCAACGTTACACAATCAATCATCGCGATTATTACGGCTCACTCAATTTATGGAATGTAGGCCAGAATTTTGCTGAAGGTGCAAAAATGTTTGGAAACAAGAAGCGGAAATTCGGCGTAGTACTTCCACGTTTTCTCTATAAAACTTCGAATTAGGGATTACTGAAATTAAACATCGTAGTTGGGCGAATGATGAGGACGACAAAGAACTGTAGCCAAATGTGCGATACACGTGCAGAGTTTTTGTACGTTTGCTCAATAAACGTACTTCTTTTGAAGTTTTGTTGCCGTCGTTGATGTTGCGTAAGCTACCTCGGTGGCTAAGAAATATTAACAATGGTTCCCTTTTTTTATGGCGCACTAGGAGCCAATGGGGGCAATAGTACTCCGGTTTCCGTAGAATGAAGCGCCTCATCTTAGCAGTATGTGGACGGCACCTGCGTTGTATGTGTACTCCTGTCCGAACCTCTTAATAGCCATTTTATAATTTGGCCATTTTGTCTCCCATGCTGGTGTTTGTTTCAAAACAAACATGGAAATTTCCTTTAAAGAGAGACTTCCCTAATTCGTGCTTATTTCTCAGTTTCAGTAAAATCTCAGTTGCCTCAGAATGATCAAAGCACCCGTGAGGTATGTGCATTTTGAATAAAAGTATGACGGCAGCGATGGCACGACAGTGAGCGTTTGCTAACCAATTTGACATGATAGTACAAGTTTAATCGTCCAATTTTTTCAGGATGCCTTGGAAAATACTCGGAAAGAAGTGGTTTGTCGACTAAAACTCTATTTTTACAAATTCTGTTCTGACTCCCATTTCATGAGTCTTGCACCGCATTCTAATGCTTAAAAGCAATGGCGGAGGGTTAACATAATGGTTACGGCGAAAGCAAGCTGATTCGCAAAACAAATCACAAAAAGATGGAGGGTAGGCACTGTAAATCAAATGTGATATAATGGTTTATAATTATGACTGGCATGCTTTATTTGATATATGATTTTTACTCTTTGGTATCACTCCCAAAATATCGGAAACAGCTCAACCAGAAAGAGGAAAGACCCACCTCAGCAAACCCTTTAGTAAATATGTTTATCTAGAAAGGTAACAAATTAGGATGTCTAAGAAGGATTATTTACTATTTCCTTGAATGCTTGAACAAACAAAGAAGCTCCACACACTCTTTGCAAATTTTTTGAAAAACACGTCGAAAGGCCAATTTTAACCGGCCAGTTGCATTTCCATAATTTCAATAACGCGTTTTTAAGTGATAAGAGCTTGAACTAAAGTAAAAGTAGATTTTAATAGGATATGAACTTGCTATGGTAGCTTAAAATGTCAAATATGTTGCATATTTAACGGTCACACTGAATAAGCGTCGCAGTATCGCTTCATTTGAACTGAGTAAAAGTGTAATGTGTTAGTACTGGAAATGCTGGAAATCGTTTTTAGCCACTTTAAGAGACAAATACTGATTGTTAACCTAAAGCTTCTGGTAATTTGATTGCTCTAAATAGGAATGCCAGAGTCTACGCTAAATCGCCCATCCTATGGCTCTGTTTATAGGGCGACTGCCGGATCGGTGGATTAAATCGGCTGGTGATTTGATCACTCTACTCTAGGACCGGCTGTTCAAGTCTACGCTGAAACTCCCAGCTCATGGCTCTTTTCACTGGTGCGGACCGCTGCTGGTTTGGTTATTTGATGACTCTGGAGACGACAGCCCAAGTATACTCTGAAACTCCTGCCTCATGGCTCTGTTCATCACGCCATAAATGATAGGATTGATCCACGACGAAATGAAGCAGAAGATCGGATAAATCGGCTTAGCGGATGAAGGAATAGAAATATGAAAACCAAATACTATAACTGAAATCACTATAAAAGGAGCCCAACAGATGATAAATCCGAGGACTGCAGCAAAAAGGACCCGAGATGTTTTAATTTCTTGTGCACTTATTCCAAACTGGTGTGCTTCTTGTAATGAATGGATGACGTTTTTGTTATGCTGCCGTATATTGCGATAAACTCTATTATAACAGAAGCCTATCACGAACGTAGGGACGATAAAAAGGCAACCAAAGTAAATGTAGAAGATGTTCTCCATATGTTTATCGTTAAACGTTGAACGGCAAAATAGTTCGTAAGGCGACCATTTGTATTCAACAGGAGCTGCGAACCATATTAGAGTCTGAAAGATGCAAAAAATCCATAGAACACAAATCGACGAAAACGTCTTCTTTCGGCTAAACAACGTCGAGTATTTTTGGGCCTTTACAACGCAATAGTAGCGATTTATTGACGCAAGCGCCAGAATGGAAGTTGATATCTGACCCCATAAAGCTGCAACAAAACCAGCAAATTGGCAAAAGTTATAGTGGAATGGCCATCTGCGCAATCCTGAAGCAAGTGTGCTTGAACAACTTACAAAGAGAGCCAATATTAAATCAGCTATGGCCAGTGAAAGAACGTAGAAATTGGTGACTGTACGTAATCTCCTGTTTCTGTAGAAAGCGAGGCAAACAAGAGAATTTCCTGTAAGTGATAAAACGGTTGTAAGAGCGAGAACAGCAGTATGCAGAGCGACCTCTTGCAGGCTTCTTGTATCTAATTCGAATGCTTCTTGTGCCATAACGCTGTTATGATGCATGTAAAGCGGTTTGGATATGCGTCAAATTATGGGAATCGTGCTTTAAATACGATGTATGGACGTGACTGTTATTGATTCAAATAGCCTTATTTGCAGGTGGTATTAAACACCACAGAAAAGTGCAAATATTATTCCTGACATTTTAGTGAAAGCAATCACTGAAAAATAAAACACAAACAGCGGTGATAAACATTGTGAGTTTTCGCATTTGTATATACTTGACGTTTCATATGCTATTCAACATATACATGTATTTTCAAAAGTTAAGTGATCGTTAAAGAAAATGACGAGACTATACCCCGGGACTATATATTAAAAAATTACAAGAGGTCTGGAAATGAGATTAAGAATTTAAAAATTCTTAACAGTAATGAATACAAAAGGCAACAGCTAATAAAGCATCAGCTTTTCACTGCTGATGTTGACATTAAAAGCTGGCTTAAGGTCTTGTAACAATGTTTCTTTTATCTTACAATGATAATCTGTTTCTGTGACGACTGTTTAAATATTATAGAAACTCATTAGCAGAGTCTTTGTTGTTAAAATAATGAGTTTCTACAGTATTTAATCAGTCGTCACCGCAACAGTATCAAGTTTACGATTGACTTTGAACACGAAATTCCGTTTTGAGATATCCTCGTAAAACGCGACCCCAACAAAGGCTTCGTGACATCTATCTACCGGAGAAAGACATTCACAGGTCTTTATACTAAATGGGACTCTTTCATTCCTCGCAAATACAAAATAAACTTAATCCGCACTCTGACTTATCGTTGCTACCAAATTTGCTCTTCTTCTTCTGCGAAAACTCACAATGTTTATCACCGCTGTTTGTGTTTTATTTTTGATCAAACTACGATGGCCCAACAACAAAAGTCTCTATGATACAATCACTGAAAATAAAAAAAATCCTTTAAAGTTAGATGGAGTTCATCTGCTCGCTACTGTCAGGGTAAGCATGTCGACTTTTTTCCCCCCAAACAAGTGAAATAATCATTAAGGCCCTCCACAGGATTTTGATGCTAAAGGTGAAAGCACCCTGACGACACGCTTCCACTTTAAAACAAAATAATTTATTTGAACACGCTTTAGCCCACCTGCCATTTTGCCTCATTAGCAATTTCTCTCGTTTCAGAGGACAAGCTTTGAGATAATTAAGCGTGAGCAAGTCAAACAAAAGAGCGTGTTAAAGTTTTTAGACGTTTTCAGTGTGAACAAAAGCAAGAAAGGGTTATGTAAAGCGTGTCACTAAAACGCGTGGTCAGGGTCAGGTTCGGGGTCTATCTTTTTTTTAAAAGAAAGCTGTTTTAGGGTGAGGGTTAGAGTTGAGATTAACTCTAACCTAACCCCAACCCCAACAACAGCGTTCTTAAAAGAAAAGATAGACCCCGACCCCTCGTTTTACTGACATCTACTGTAGGAGCTACAAACTTGATTCTCGGCTGTTACACGCGAGAATCGAGTCTAGACTCTTGAGTTAGGGCAAAAAAAGGATCTTTTTGATATTCATAAGTCTACAGGGTTTTGAGAAAACAATCTATTTCTTCGCATCTACAGAAATTAACGGCTCGTCAGTGTTTTCATGCGCGTGCACCGCTCATCCTCAGGCCTACACTTTGACGAATAAAAATTTCACTTTTAGCCGAAAACCAACGGTAGGTTGCTTATCTGAACTTTTGGAAAATTGTGTCGGCGTATTTTGGTATGAAGGCCATATGGTGAATTATAAAATATGTTTGTTTGGTGCACAATTTGCTTCGGTTTGCGTGAACAGTCGCGATCGCGAAGGAGCGGGAATGGTCGTCAAAATGGCAATGTTTGCGAGCCGTCCTATAATAATCACAAAATATACTGGGAGTATAGGAGACGTGCGTTCGATAGGTTTGATAGGAGTACAGGTAGCAGTTGAGAGAGAAGGGTGGATGATTCTTGCGATATTGAGTTAAATATGATTATGGCTTATTTTGAACGCAAGGGTGGCGTTCGGTGAAACCTCTATTTAAACTGGTGATGTTCCAGATGTTCTGTAAAGCAGTTGTTTAAAGGCCTTTTCAGCGCTTAGCCCGGGTTACTTTTTCTTTCGTTCAAAAACATTTCTTCGGATAATTTTCTCTGTTATTTTTGTGAGCATCCAATTATCAACTTGTTGACAAAACGAATTACACTGAATTTACTTTTTAAGCTTTCACATCTGAATTCAAATTTCGCACTAAGCCTGGGTTTTCTTAACCAAGCTTTGAACAACCCAGCCCAGCTATTGTTAAAAGCTAACAGTTGACAACGTTTTAGATGTAATCATTCATTCTAATTATTGGGAATTTCACATGTACTTACTATAAAATAAAGCTGTTACTGTCAAGAAGTCTTCTTAACTTGCGCTGATATCAAAGACCCAAGACCACATTTTTTGTGGTGAACGTCGCGGGCACAATTAAATGAATTGTGTTTGAACACTGGTTCACTTACACTACATCTCTCAATTTCACACGTTTCAAGTGAATTATCAAAGCCTTCAGTGGAATGTGTGTGCTGACGTCAACAACTTTTTCAGTAATTTGGTCGAGTTTGTTGATTTCAGTAACTTGAGAGGCTCTACTGTGGGCTGGTTACGAAGTTTTTCCGAATTAATAACATAGAGCTAAAATGTTTGTTTGTCCGGTGCCGAAAATATCACAAGTCAGGATGAAAAGGCGCCGCCGAGTTTCACATCTCGATAGAGATACTTTGTGGCACAACGGCCGCTGAGCTACTACACAACTCGGTAGATTTACTCTGTGTGGCACAACGGCCGCCGAGCTATTACACAACTCGGTTAGATTTACTTTGTGGCACAACGGCCACCGAGCTACTACACAACTCGGTAGATTTACTTTGTGGTACGACAGGCCGCCGAGCTACTACACACTAAACGAAAACAAGGCTTTGCTGAAACTTAAGGATGCCTCCCTTAAAGCCAAAAACTCACGTCCAGAAGAAAGAGGAATTGAAGCAACAACTGGAACCGAGAAAGAAAACGTACTTATAATGTAGTTGCCATATGATTTCAGAGATGGAAAATACTACTCAGAACCTTATAGCCAATGGCGGCAATACTACTTCGGTTTCCGTAGAATGAAGCGCCTCGTCTTAGCAGTATGTGGACGGCACCTGTGTTGTATTTATACTCCTGTCTGAACCCCTTAATAGCCATTTTTTATAATTTGGCCAGTTTGTTTCCTATGCTACTCATGGCGATTTCCCCTCAAAGAGTGACTTTCCTAATTATTGTTTATTTCTCAGTTTCAGTGAAGTCTCAGTTGCCTCATAATGATAAAAAAACCCTTGAGGTATGTGCTTTTGTAATAAAAAAGGTATGACAACAGCGATCGCACGACAATGAATGAAATCGCGTTTCGTTATCAATAATTTGACATGATAGTACAAGTTTAATCGTCCAATTGGTAAGGATGCCTAGGAAAACACTCTGAAAGAAATGGATTGTCGACTAAGAATCTATCTGTACAAATCGTGTGCTGACTCCCATTTCAGTCATGCGCCTTACACTGCATTACGCAATAGAAGAAGGTTATCAAACTGATTCACAAAACAAAGCTTGCAATAGGCTTCAGGGCGGAAAAACGTTCTGCGCAAGCTTCCGCGCATCCCTTATCGCAGGCTCAAGGCGGGCTTTTTTGTGTGTTGACTGTGTAGACTGTGTTTGTTTGTTGCTAGAGTTCTGAGTGAACTGCACGAGGTGCGAACGTTTGCTCCCTCTAAAGCATTTTTATTTGACATGTTTGCTTTTTTTTTTCGTCGCTTGAAAATTACTTTGGATTCAGAACAACCAACGTTAAAGGAAAAACGGATCATTCTGTCAGTCTGAGGTGGAATAAAAAGTTTTGAACATTTCTAAAGAGGCGAGTATTTTTTGTGATTGTGCATCCGATTAATTTATGAGTTGATTTCGCCGGGTTGAATTAAAGCCCGCTTGTATTCTGTTATTAGTATATAGTTACGGTTACTTTTTTTACATGCCCAGATTTATTACCTTGGCAGAATCAGCTTTATCTTTGTCTTCAGTCAAAGAACCATATTGCTGCTATAACGCATCAGAGTGAACAAACTTGTGCACTTATTTAACTTTCTCGGAAATAGAAGGCCAGCAAGCTTACTCAAGATCATTTTCTGTTGCTCAAGTAATAATAGTCGGAGGTCTTTTCATTTTTCATTACATAGTTTTGTTTTCCAGTGCACTGTGAAAGTTTCTGTTCTTTATAAGAATAACTTTCTGTACGCAAATTGTCCTTTTCACTCGCTGTGAAGTAGAGAACGACAACTGCCGGCAGTGACTTCAAAACAATTGACTCTTTTCCCGTAAACAATTGCTGCAGCTGGATTTGACTGAGGCGAGCAAAACAAACCCTTATGTGCAATTTTCTGTATTTTCTAATGATCGGCTGAGTTTAATTTGCTTACTTAGTAAACGAATACCCTCGCATGGACCAGTTAAGCTTAAAATAGCTATAAATGGTGAATCATGGCTTGGCTGCCAAGTAGCAACTGATCTTTTGCTTTTAAAATCTTTAGGTAGGTTGTTTTCGTGCAGAAAATTTATTTCTTCATTGTCAGCAAGAAGTCTTTGAAATAATGTAACTTTAACTTTGTTTGAAGGAAATCCTACTTACGCGTAGGTTTTTGACAGATGTTATGCGTGTTCAACTTGACAACACAAAGCAAAATTTATATATCTGCGCGAAACGAGCAAGTTTAAAAAACTATAGTTACTTTGAAACCGATTTTGTGGAAGATTTTGCTGGATAAGGATTGACCTTTTTTCTGCCCTCGTATAAACGCAATAACTTCTACATTGAGGATTTTGTTTATATTTTAGTGATCTGCGAAACTACGAGTGTCCGATCGAGCGAAGGTTTTAAAATATCAGCTCGAGTGCGACAAAGTTCAGTGACTTCAAACACATTGTGGGCAAGCGTTAATTTCTTTGGGCAAATCACTGTCCAAAGATATGTTGTTTTTGTGTCCACAGTGGAGCTCTGGACCTTATATATCCAGGAACTTCCTTATATGAACACATTTTGTGAATGCATTTTGAAAAAAATCGGACCAACGCATACACATTTCCAGTACAACGCAAGGAAATTGATGTCGTTTAAGTCCGTTTTACTATGAGGTATTCTTCGAGAAAATTAAGAAACGACAAGATTATAACCACAGCTTGCAACTTTTGAAGACAAATTGCCTGTTTGTTCCAGGGTATGAGTGGAAACATTATATTTTTAGGCAATAAAATATTTGAAATCCCGCCATTTTTTCAAACCCGGTCAGGGGATCTGGGCAAAAAAGTTGACGCATGCTCATTACGTTTTTCCGCCCTGAAGCAATAGGCCATTTGCACGATGGCGTCATTTTACCACTACGACCAGAATCCTTTTCGTTTTTCCTTTCATATTCAAATTTGGTAACCTCAGCGAGGTTTGAATAACACGAGCCTTAATTCGCACAAGAAAGCAAACCCCTGGTCTTCTCTGGTCGTAGTAGTAAAGTGTCGTCAGTGAAAATGGCCTATTAAAATAACAAAAAGATGGAGGGTTCGCACTGTAAATCAAATGCGATATAATGGTTTATAAATTATGACTTGCATTCTTTACTTAATTTATAGAAAAATGCCATGTTAATAAATGATTCTTCCCTTTGCATCACCCAAAAACTATATGAAACAGCTCAACCAGAAGGAAGAAAGCTGGCACCTCTACTGAGTTGTTCACACGGTTACCCCCCCCCCTTTTCATTTCGTGTTTTCAGTTTAGGTAGACAGAAAAGACCTACCTCAGCAAACCCTTTAGTAAATATGTTTATCTAGAAAGGTAACAAATTAGGATGTCTAAAGAAGATTGTTTACTATTACCTTGACAATTTAAAGAAACAAAGAAGCTCCGAACACTCTTGGCAGATTTTTTGAAAAATACGTCGGAAGGCCAATTTTAACCGGCCAATAGCATTTCAAAAATTGCAATAACGCGTTTTTTAAGTGATAAGCTCTTGAACTAAAATTAAAGTAGATTTTAATAGGATACAAAGTTGATATGGTAGTTTAAAGTGTCAAATATGTTGCATATTTTAAGGTCACTTTGAATAAACGTTACAGTATCAATTAATCAATTGGAAGTAAAGGTGAAATGTATTAGTACTGGAAATGCTCGGAATCGTTTTTGGCCACTTTAACAGACAAATACTGATTGTTTACTTAAAGCTTCTGGTGATTTGATCGCTCCAAACAGGAATGCCAGAGTCTACGCTAAATCTCCCATCCTATATGGCTCTGTTTATAGAGCTACTGCAGAACTGTTGGGTTAAGTGTTCTGGTGATTTGAGCACTCTAAATAGGACTATCCAAGTATACCCTGAAACTCCCGTCCTTTGGCTCTGTTTATAGGGCTACTGTCGGATTGAAAGGTTAAGTCTTCTGGCGATTTGGTTACTCTAAATAGGAGTGTTTAAGTCTATGCTAGAACTTCCTGCTTATGGCTCTTTTCAGTGACACGAACACTACCAGTTTGGTTATTTGATGACTCTGGGGACGACAGCCCAAGTACACTCTGAAACTACCGCCTCATGGCTCTGTTCATCACGCCATAAATGACAGGATTAATCCACGACGAAATGAAGCAGAAGATGGGATAGATCGACTGAGTAGATGGAGGAATGGAAATGTGAAAACCAAACACCAAAATTGAAATCACTATAAAAGGAGTCGAACAGATGATAAATCCGAGGACAGCAGCAAAAAGGACCCTAGATGTTTTAATTTCTTGTGCACTTATTCCAAACTTGTGTGCTTCTTGTAATGAATGGATGACGTTTTTGTTATGCTGCCGTATATTGCGATAGACTCTATTATAACAGAAGCCTATCACCAACATAGGGACAGTAAAAAGGCAACCAAAGTAAATGTAGAAGATTCTCTCCTTTTGCTCTTCATTAAACGTCGAACGGCAAAATAGTTCGTAAGGCGACCATTTGTATACAATAGGAGCTGCGAACCACATCAGAGTCTGAAAAAGGCAGAAAATCCACGCAACACAAATCGACGAAAACGTCTTCTTTCGGCTAAACAAGGTCGAGTATTTTGGGGCCTTTACAACGCAATAGTAGCGATTTATCGACGCAAGCGCCAGAATGGAAGTTGATATCTGACCCCATAAAGCTGCAACAAAACCAGTAAATTGGCAAAAGTTATAGTGGAATGGCCACCTGCGCAATCCTGAAGCAAGTGTGCTTGAACAACCTACAAATACAGCCAGTATTAAATCAGCGATGGCCAGTGAAAGGACGTAGAAATTGGTGACTGTACGTAATCTCCGGTTTCGGTAAAAAGCGAGGCAAACAAGAGAATTTCCCGTGAGTGATAAAACGGTTGTTAGAGCGAGAACAGCAGTATGCATAGTGACCTCCGGTAGGCTTCTTTCATCTAATTCGAATTCTTCCTGTTCCATAACGCTGTTATAATGCATGTAAAGCGGTTTGGATATGCGTCAGAATATGAGGATCGTGTCTTAAATACGATGTATGGACGTGACTGCTATTGATTCAAATAGCCTTATTCGCAATTCAATAATTATTACCAAGTTGTCTAAAGCACTACTGAAAAGTGCAAATATTATTCCTGACATTTTAGTGAAAGCAATCACTGAAAATAAACAAAATCCTTTAAAGTTAGATGGAGTTCATCTGCTCGCTACTGTCAGATTAGGCGTGTCGACTTATATTTTTCCCAAAACAAATGAAATAAAATGTCAGGTCTTTTCTCCACAGCCGTTGTCCAAATAAAAGTCCATTGTTCACAGTTTTTTTGTTGTATGTCCCCAAATAAAGGTAAGCCTTTATCCAATTTCCTATTTCTAACAAAAACTTTTATTAAACACCGATATCGTTGGCCATAGGAAAATAGGGCGTACAGTTTTCAATAATAGTCATATCGACATGTGTTGAAGTTTACCATCTTTAAGTACTAAATAGAATTGCCGCATATTTAATATTCATTCAAATAGTCTTTTTTTAAAATGGTACACCCCGTTCATTCATCACTTTACTTATGAATTTTACCTCGGGGATTTTCTACTTTACCGAGCCAAATTTCCAGTTTTTTTCAATTCTTAGCTACCGAAATCCTAGGGCGCTTATCAAAAGTCAGAACTGGGGCCGGATCAGTCTTTTCTCGAAATTTCCCGTAAGACCCACCACTGCCGAGCATACCCGTTATGAATAGAGTGATCTGGCTGAATGCTAGTGCTCAAACAGAGGAATTCTCTTTGCATCTTGACCGGTCTGGCAGGCTGGTTATAACTTATGGAAAGCACCCTTAATCGTTTGCACATCGTTAATGCGCACAATAATTGACTGCAAAGGGTGTAGTCCTTATTGTTCTATTTTCGACATTCGACAGTGCCCTGCAAACGTTCCTCCATGGTCTTTCACTGGGGTAGAAAAAAAATTGGGTGCCTCAATTTAAAGTTCGCCCTGGGAGCGACAAAATGATTACCGAGTAGCCTGAGAGCAGGCTCAATTGTGCAAATTCGGGGAAACTTGCGGTGGCGGAGCCGTGCCCTACTAATTGGTGGCTCCGCCGCCAACATTTTCCCCAAATTTGATTACGTGAGCCTGCTCGCAGGCTAAGTACAGAGCGAGAGGAACAATGTGGCCTCTTCAAGTTCAGTCATAAATTAAATTCGAATCGAATGCTTCCTACTCCATAACCCTTGGATAATGCAGGTCAGGCGGTTTGGACTTGTGACTATAAACATTTCAGGTCAGATTAAGGGAAACGTGCCTCAAAGGAAGCATGCACGTGCGTTGCTATTGAATCACCTGGCCTCACTTTTCAATTGTTCTTATTCGGCCAAGCACCATTAACAAAAAACAAACTAACGTCATTCAAAGTTCTCTACGATCTTTGCATAGTAATTTTGATTGTTGCGTCAGGACTTCTTCATAGCTTGGATTTGCTACAAATTAAAAAAAAAAAACATTAGCAGTATGTCACGTTCAACTTTTGCGTCAAAACATTTCAATTTTTATTAGACCACATTTTCAATATTTTCACTATTAACTATATCTATCTCCTTAATGTATGCAATATTCGCGTACGAAGGGCTTTTCTTTGCTTTCGATGCCATTTTGGCTGTCCCAGCACAACTGAGGTTTCCCTCGACCGGTAACTGGTATTTAATTTGTGCCTCAATTTGGAGTTGCCCGTCACCCTTTCCTATAGGTGCTAATACAATTATTAGAGCGAGAATACTGTCCGCGTGCTCAGCGAGCTACGCTTGTAGACTTGTATCTAATTCGAGAGCTTCCTGTCACCTGACGCTAGAATAATGGAGCCAAACACTTTGAATTTTCTGCAATTGTAAGGATTTCACTTCAGATTTAGGGGAAGGTTCCTTAGAATGAATGGACGTGCATTGTTATTGAATCACCTTGTGCTCGCCATTCAATTGTTTTTATCGGGTTGTTTAAAGCACTATTCAAAAGTTCAAATAACGTCCCTGCCATTTTATTAAAAGTAAATACTGCAAATAAATAAACCCAACTGCAATGGATCATTATGCTTTTCTAGGAAACTGCCCACCTACCCCTCCCCTAAGCCAACATTAACACTTAGTTCTCACTTTAATAGGGCAAATTGTTAGCTTAGGAGAGGGGTAGGTGGGCAGTTTCCCAGAAACGTATAATGCTTCAGTGAGGCGTTGATAAAGGTTTTTTCTTTAAACAAGCGCGATAGAAATATACGCGTTGTCTAAATACAACTCCATTGTCCACACTTTTATGTTTTGTGTCTTTAAGTGATGCTTTGATCAGATTTTTTATCTCTTTTAATTTTTTTTAATACCGCACAAATACATAGGTGATTTTAAAGACATAATTCCTTTTCAGTTACGCCGAATTTTTCAAAACCAGGCAAAACTACTAAGTAAAAAACAAACTAACGTCATCAATACATGAAGTACTGCCCTCTCTGTATACCAGTTTTGATTATTTAATATATCACGTTTAGTCATTACTTAAAGAACTTTTTAAGTCAAAACATTTCAATTTTTATTAAACCAAAGTTTTCATATTTGGCAATTATCGGATAGGGCTAAGTTTGATTCGAAGAATTACAATGCAGATCGAGGTGTCGGTAGCACTCAGCAAGACTCTTTGAGATCTGCATAATTCTTCATATCATAGGAAAACCGACCCCAAAGATTGTAGTATTTTTTATTCACAATAAATATTTTCATCTCACCCAAACATGCTTACCGCAGTCTATGTAAAGTTTCCGCCTATATATAACCGTTTGTCGGTTACCGGCCGTTTCAAGTTATGAATAGATATTTATTGCAACAGACATTCTTCAAATAGCAGTTGGCATGAGTGGTATCTTTGTCATTCTTGCAGTTTCTAGTGGCGGGTCCAGACCTTCGGATAACGAGGGGGGGGGGGGGGTATGATTCGGCCAAGGGGGGGGGGGTTCGCCGGGCCCCTCCCCAGGATCCGCCACTGGTTTCTAAGCAGTAGTTCGGCTGTTTTTGTTTGCAAAACGCCAGTCACTAACAATTCACAAAAAAGCATGGTGCACGTGTAGGGCTGTTGTTTTGCTTTCTAAACCAATGAATTAGACGTTTCCTTTTACGAACCCACGGCTTCTATATGGAATTCCCTGCCATGTATTTGAAACACGTACATCTACCATCAATTACGTATATTGTGCATTTTGCAGTCAATGTACATGCCTTAATAATGATCTGTAGCTTATGACAAAATGAATGAATAAGTAAATAATCTGGTTCCCTCAGGACCAGTTATAAACTAGTAGGTATAGGGCGTTTTCACTTGACGTCATGGGCTCACGGCGGCTATAGATACTTACAGTTTAAAAACTTAGTTGTCCTTTCCACAACGAATCACTTTCAGAAATTCTTTTCTCATGGCCCGATTCATGGCACCGTATATAATAGGGTTTATCCACGAACTACAGGCAGAAGAAAGTGTATGAAGAGACTGCCAAAAGGGTGGTACGCCTCGATGAGCTAGTTTTTCTAAAATGACGACGGTTGTCGCAGGAATCCAACAAATGCAAAATGCTACAACTGCAGCCAGAAGAATCCACGATCCCTGAATCTCATGTTTGCTAACCATTGCTCTTTGGATGTTTGCCTGTTGCAAGAATGGAACGACGAGAGAATTGTGGCGTCTAATGACTTTGTATACGCGTCCATAGCAAACGAATGTTACACATGTAGGGAGAAAGACAAATCCGATAAGAAATGTCAAAATCAAAGCTTCCACCGGGCCTTTAAAATCTGTCGCCTGACAAAACAAATAGTAAGGATGCCATCGGAATAAACTACCTGTACCGATTATCACAGCCAAAAATGTGCATAAGATAAACAGGATCACAAAGATTATTGATAGAATGGCTCTCTTCTTTGTGAAGAACACAGAATAGAAGTGAGGATTTACTATGCAGCAGTAACGGTTGACAGCTGCTAACGCCAAAATGTTAATGGACACCGAGACCCAAAGATAAGATGTGAAACCATTAAACTGGCAAAGGATGGAACCGAATGACCACTTGCGCAAGGCCGATGCTATTGCGTCCATTGGATAAACAGAACAAGCGAAGATTAAGTCTGTTATGGCCAAAGAATATACATAGCAGTTAGTAACGGTGCGTAATCGCCTGTTTCGGTGGAAAGCCAAGCAAACCAGGATGTTGCCAATGACAGACAGAAGCGCCATAAGAGATAAGCTTAAAGTGTGTATTGTAACTGTTAGTAGCGTCCTTCCATCTCCGCTTTCTTGCATCGTAGTTGATTTTTTATAGATAGTGTAACCTTTTTCGGATTATATATTGAGTGCTTTCGTTGCATATATCGTCTCCGCCGATAACCGTGTAATCCAAATTCATAACTGACTGTCAAAATGTTTTCCAAAAAAAAAAAAACCTGCGTGCCTTGTTCAAATAAAGCTGAAATTGATTTTCAGGCGGGATAAGTTACACAAAATAGTTTTTATTTAAATTGGCGAAAAATGAAAGACAACGCAGAGGGTGCAATTTAATTAAATTTAACTTTCTTTATTACCATTAAAAGCCTTGACAAAGAAATGCTGCCAATTAAATTTAAAAGGAGACCTTAAGCTTTATTTGTGCCAATTTTTTTAAAATAATAACCAACCGTCCTTTATCTATTAACAATTTAACGCACGAATATCGTTAACAAAGCTAGCCTGGGGTTTGACGACGTAACTACCTCCGACAAATTCCAAAAGCAGAGATTATGAACTACGATAGTTCTCCTTATACTGATCATGAAGCCCAACCGTCGTTTTCTTTGTCTTGCGATTGAAAAAAATTTAAATTCACGATTATTTAATTTTCAGTTTTTAATTGAAAGAATCTCTCAATGGAACAACCGACTCTTCATGTCTCTAATTTTGCCCGCAGTAAACATACTGCATTTTCTCTCATCCAGTTTCGTAAAGCATTTAACCATTGTACGATGTAGTGAGATATATTCACTGGAAGTTCAGTGGATGAATATTTTTCAAGTGATTTATCCCCCCCACCCTCCCTTCCCTCCTTTGGTAGTTCTCCCTATGGTTATCGCAATTCTCTCCGTTTTCGAGGTTTCTCGTGTTTCTTGGGTGTTTTAGTTCTACTGGGTTTCGTTAGTCGTTAGTTGTCTTCGCCCCATCGTTTTCCACCACCATTATAAAATAACGTCTTTCCTCGAACAATAGCCGTTCCTCGCTTAATCGCCTCCGTCGAATAATCGCCCCCTATGACGGAAATATTTAAAATAATCGTCTCCCTCGAATTATCACCCCCCTCCCACCAATATCGATACCCATAGCGGTAAATCTGGAGGATGAGGCTGTCAAGAGGAGTCTGATCCAGCAAAACTGGTCAGTGACGAAGCCGAGGATATTGACAATGAAAATTAATGAAGGAACCAAATTTGGAACACTTAAAAAGCCCATGTTCAGTTACTTTGATGCGATCATTTTTTGATTATGGGAAAATAGAACAAATTATTACATAGACACGAGTGTTTTACTGGAAATATACCATTCGTAAAATTCATAAAAACTACATCCGGGACCCGAGTGGTTTATTTTCCATAATCTCACACGTGAGTTTATCGATGACGTAATTTCGGTCATTTCCCTTTATCTTATCGGTGTCTTTTTGTCTATATAATAAAAAGAACATTACACGGCGGCTTGAAGATATGAATTTTATTTTCTCCTGGCAAAAACAATATTTTACTCACTCGCTGCGCTCGTTCGTAAAATATTGTTTTGCCACTCGAAAATAAAATTCATATCTTCGCGCCACCGTGTAATATCCTCTATATATTTAGGGCACGACCTCCAGTGAATAATATAGGAAATAATCGCCCCCTTTTGGTGCGAAAAAAGAAAAAATAGCCCCTGGCTATTATTTGAGGAAATACGGTATATAAGCTGCGCAGACTCAAATATTTACTGACTTGATATCACTTTTTCTTTGTCATCTCCTGCGGTCATTTTAAGGTTGGATTTGATGCTGGGTCAGTTTTCTGTCAAAGAGATACAGCCATTCAAAAACTCCAAAATGGCTGTATCTCGTTCAATATAGGCCCGATATACACAAAACTTGAGATTGTTGCTAATTTCAATGTTCTCTTTCTGACCATATGGATCTCGTGTTGTTTATCCCATAATAACATGACTCGTACCTAGCCCCTCTCGATTTGAAACTAGGCAATGGCAAAAAGAACGAACGAACCAAAGAAATTAATGACGAGTTCATTAAGTTGATTAAGTCATGATTGTTAACTGTTGAAAACGTGGGTATCTATATCTATTTTCATCTCCATCGTACTTATTTCTGTAGTTTTCTGTGCGACTTGTGTGCATAATTATTACATGAGATAAAGTATTTTCAATTTGGAGTCGCAAGCCACAACGTACTTTGTCTCTACAAAAAGATTCAATTTATAGAACTGAAACTATTAATAATAGTTCAACTGATGTTGTTTATAGTTTAACTCAGGTTGTGTGCGTTCATCAATTTCCCTTCCGGCAATGCAGGATTTTAATAATCTCCTTCCTCATGGCCCGACTCATGATGACATAAATAATCGGGTTGATCCACGAAGTACAGGCAAAAACCAGCGTGTCGAAAGATTGCCAAAAGGACAGAACATCCTGCCGTGCAACTCTTTCTATGGTGCTTACAACTGTTGCTGGAATCCAACAAACGAAGAATACTAAAACTGCAATTAAAAGAATTCGAGACGCTTGGATCTCGTGTGAGTTAAAATTGTTAGCTTGATGGTCCCTTGGTCCTGTAAGTGACGGAATAATGGCCGAATTGTGCCGTTTTATGGCAAGGTAAACGGCAGCATAGCAAAATAAGGTCAAGCTTATCAGCGAGAAGGTATAAACTGTGAGGATTGTTGAAGTAGGCGCTGGTAGGGTTTCACTACTTTCAATTTGACAGAATAAATAATAAGGATGCCACCGGAATACCAGAGGGGTGGCAAAGGTAAGAGCTAAACCCCCTGTAAGGGTGCACAGCCACACCAATATGATAGAACGAGCCGTTTTCTCTCTTGTGAACAGGATGGAATAAAAACGAGGTTTTATGATGCAAAAGTATCGATTCATAGCCGTAAGCGCCAACATGTGGATTGAGACTACAGTCCAAAAATGCGAAAGAAAACCATTGAATTGACAAAAGTTATGGCCGAACGGCCATCTTCGTAGCCCGGAGGAGATGGTGTTGAAAGGATATCCGAACGAAGCCGCAATTAAGTCTATCAAGGTTAAAGAGAGAACGAAGAAATTAGTGATTGTGAGCAGCCTCCTGTTGTTATAAAAAGCGACGCAGATTAGAGAATTCCCTGTGAGTGATAGAAGTGTTGTCAGGAACCATGTAATGGTGTGCAATGTCACTGTTGTCACGGTTCTTTTGTCTTCGTCGACACTCATGACTGACTAGAAAATGGTTTCTTCGTAAAAGAACGTTAAAAGGATAAAACCAAAGCACTATGGTTTCAGTCAATGTTTCAGCAGTAATTTAAACTCGTCGAATTTACCGAAAAATACGTTTTTTGTAATAAGAAAGTAGTCTTGGAATATTCGATGGAAACTGCACAAATTAGAAACGTAGATGGAGCTCTATAAATTACGTTTTTGATGTCCGTGGCTGCTACTTCTAGTCGCCTATTCTCGCCGAATAATTTTTCTTTTAAAGTTGTAATACAGTGAGACTACTTTATCAATTATGTATAATGGAGCGGAAACGTTTTGAAATTTTTAATACGGAATCTTTTATGAAACTTGAAATTTGTAAGATTAAACCGAAACAAACGACAACTTTAATTGCTCTTTGGATACAGCAGCGGAAACGTTTGGGCTTTTATTAAACTTTTGCACAAATTTTTAAGATTAAACGGAAAGAAACGACAGAGAATTAATTGCCTTTTGATTTTCTTTTTCTAGGTTATTGTCTCTCACTGTGGACTCCCACCCTGGAATAATTTGATGGCATCGTGACACGAACTTTAATTCTTTTAATAGCTAGGATTATGTAAAACAAGAGTGGTAATAAAACAATGTTTTTGACTCCAAAAAGTCCACCAGGTTATTTTCTTCTATAAAGTTTACCTGATGAGTGAAATGTGAAAATGAAACTCCAGAAAACCGTAGGGAATTTATTAGATAAGCTTCGAAAATCGTGCATGAATGGAATGTAATGAAGTAGAGATTTTAAGCCGTCCGCAAGTTATAGAAAGTTCTAGACAAGAATTACCTCTTCGAACAGATGTTTTACACTAAGAAGTTATTACATATCCCCAAACATTGCTTTTCAACTGTAGCAGCAGCCTAATGCCGTTAAAATGACGACCACAAATAGACCACTGCGTCGACCACTGCGACTACGGTGACCTGTCAACGACAGGTGCGATCACGACGACAGCGACGACAACAGCTCCCCAAGACTATGACGACCACGACAACGGCCACCACCACCCGTGCACTGCCATCAGTACGACTTCGACCACAATCAACATCACGAAGGCAACTACGACTACGACCACGTGGACAACACAACCACAAACATGACGAATTCAATAACGACGGCGGCGACCAGGACGACATTTTAACTAGACAGGACAGATATGTCGACAAACTGCGAAAGAACACAACGACCAGGATAACATCGACCCGACGACAACTACAAAGACCACGACAAACCTATGGAAAACGGTGAAAACCACAACTATGGCGAATACTTGACCATGATGACCATGACGGTCTCGACAACAGCGATGCCAAAAAAACAATAATAATAATAAAATAAAAAAACTAGGAACCAGATAACTTTTTTTTTTGTTAGAAAAGTAGAATTGCCGGAAACTTGTTGAAGTAACATATGTCTTCACCTGAGTTGCATTAATATCCTATGGAAAGCCAAACCAAAAACAGCTATTGTTTCTAAGCCAACACCGCAACTGCTTTGAAAATACTTTACATAATGGAACTGACCTACTTAGGAGATATCTTTATTTGATTCATTTGCAAAATTAAGGCACACGCCGAGGAAGGTGGGGAGGAAGCACTTAACAAAGTTATACACGGGAAGGCCCGCGCCTCGAGGTCCAACCGCTTACTCTTTTTTATAAATTAAGATAATAAGATATTAATTAAATAATAAGATAGTACGCGCGTTCTGATTGGTTAAAAACCTATGGTGTATTGTGCCGGTAAACTCATAGAAAACTTAAAGTTATTTTATAAAAGCGATAGACCACACTTTCTATGGGTTTTACCGGCGTGACAAACCACTTGGGATGTTGGGAGAACACCCGGAAAGCTTGTAAATCACTCGCCTTCGGCTTGTGATTTACAAGTTTTTCTCGTGTTCTCCCAACATCCCACATGGGTTATCACGCCGGTAAAGCCATAGAAAGTGTGGTCTACTGCTTAAATATACCATTTTTGACGGAATAGCTAGGTCCCCCTTTCGTATACCTTCTACTGACATGCAACAACAACAACAACATCTTTATTTCTTACATTAAATATACAAATATCACACCACCTGCAAATAGCAAGGCTAATCGAGGCAGGTGGTGTGTAGACGGCTTAAGATTTATTACGAATAGTTGAAGTGAAAAAGTACCATATTTATAATAAAAAAGGTCAGTCACGAGAGAAATTGAGATAAGAAAATCGAGGCAGCTATTTAGATAAGCGGGGGCTAATATTTTCTGCAAATGGTACACCTTTCACATATATACCTAGTTTAAAACACATATATATACCTAGTTTAAAACACTGCATCCCTTTTGACTGCCTTAACTCCTAATGAATCACTAAACCAGAACTGAGTCTTTCTTTTCAATTTCATATACACAAAATGCGTCTGTCGGCCCTTTTACAGACCCAAATGAAATGACTGCTTTCCCTACCCTTTCATATACTTCAACTAGTGAAATCCCTACGCTTTCATACCTGAGTTGGCGTGATGTTCCATGGATATTGCCCAAAAAACAATACTGACGAGCCCCAAAAAGGGAGAAACAGCTGTCTGTGGCTACATCCCACTCTGTTTTGAGTTCTTTTGGTGTCGTGTCAGCTGTCGTGTTGATGTGTTGCAAAGTTAATTTTCCCGTAGTATGATCAGCATTGTTGCCCCCGCAGGGTTCCGGCCCAGAGGCTGGAACCCGAGGAGGCACCCCTAATTTTCCCCGCGTAAAGAAAAAGTATCGTATCGTCGTACTGTTAGTATGCGATTTGATGAAACTAGGCGCGCACGGTAGTCCCGGTTAATTTTCAGCATGTGCGCCCGGCTCAGCAACCGCGCAACCTGGGTTTGGCAACGAGTTGCATTCGCCGAATTGTGTCAGGATTTCATTCCAAGCTATAAGGTGAGTATTTTTATCATTGAGTATCTTGTAACACATCAATTTTCCGATTTCTTTTAATTGAAAAGCTATTCAACAGTACTGGAATTGTTTGGCATTAAAGAACTTGATTTGTCAGACACAAATCAGCAACGTGGATCGACAGATGCGATTCAAACCACATCAGGAATAGTGGTCCATGTTTTTGTATCGTTAGTTTATTGCAAAATTATTCATATCACTAGCGTTCAAGAATGTCACACTCGAAGCCAAAGCCGTCTTTCGACACATTAGTTATAGGACATTTATATTGTTAGATACAAATAAATAATTAAAGATGGTTTTGTTGTTTAACACGCGTTCTTTTACATTTGCATTGTTCGTTGAACTCATTATGACATGTATAAAAAACATTTGTCCATCCTAAGCATGACATGTATGAGGATTTTCATTAACCCAGGAAACAAAGTGTAATAATTGAGAGAACACCGAAGAAAACAAAAGAATTACACTCAGAAACTCTAATACTAAAACTGCATTTCAAAGATTCATGGCAAATACATGGACAACCGCATGGAGTCTTAATTCGGTTTTTAAAAGGTCGGGGGCCGATTTAGTGACAACTATGACTAGTAGTACGTGTATTCTTCTTGCAGAATTTAATATGTCTAGCAGATAAGTGTGTTAATTCTGGAGGTCACTTATGGCGCTTTTTATCCCAGGAGAAAGTCCAGAGAATGGCCTGTATGGGGAGGCTCCTTTTTTTAGGCTTCAGGTATAAAAAAGGCTAGCTATTTCCCTAGCTGAAGTATATGACAGGGTAGGGAAATGCGTCATTTCGGTCAGTAAAAAGGCCCAAAAGGACTACAACAGTAGGCTCACGATCACTCTGTTTATCTTTCCTAGCAAGAAAACATACTTCGGATAGCGAGATCTTTCACCTTTATCCTTACGTAAACATTTCCGGTCAATTGATTTGTTTTGTCTAATAATCTAGTTAAAATTGAAAGAACAACGGCCTCTGTATAAACATCTACATACCACATAAGATGATTGATCACTAAAAACGCGATTATAATTGCATAAATGATGATAAAAATAAAGAAAGATAAAATCAATGAAATCAATACAAAAATTAAAAGCAAGGATATTGTTATCCAAAAGCTAGCGATTGAAGTACTGAATTCTTCCATAAGGCTGTTGTGTTGATCAGAAGCACTCTTGAATTTCACTGATCCAGTTGCTCGTAATGTTTTCGTAAGGAACAGTTGAGTTTTTAAAACAGTTAATTCGGGTGATTCTTTTAGCGCTTCTAACTCAGTAGGTAGCTCACTTACTTTACAAGGTTTTCTGATAAAGTCTCTCTCGGAAGAGTTCGCTTGTAAATGGGTCTCTCGCATAGTATAGTTCATGAACTACACCACTTCCAAAATGTACTCTTGCCAACTTTCAGACTGTGGGCTAACCATCAACAGCGTTTACATTCGTATGTTTGTATTCGTATGCTTCCACCGAAGATAGATTGCTAATAGCTTCGAGTCGCCTCGAGCTCCTCGGAATGTACTCTGCTGAAGTCCGCTGATCTATTCTACGCATTCTACGCATACACTTATACCTTGCGCACGCGCTGAACACGCCAGAGAGCGATTTGTGCCAGAAGGAACTGAAACCGAGCCCAATTTATAACTGGGCTGTGCCACAGGCAGCCCAATAATAGTAAGGAAACCAGCTGGGCCGGGTTGTTCAAAGCTGGCTTATGGTGACCCAGGGATAGTGCAAAATTTGAACTCAGATATGAGAGCTTACAAAGCAAATTCAGTTTAATTCTCTTTGCCTACAATTTGATGATTGGATATTCTAAAAAGAATAGAGAAAATTATCCTAGAAAGTGCTTTTGATAAAAGGAGAAAGAAACCCGGGTTAAAATTTAACCCCGGGTTAGCGCTAACCGGCGTTCGAACAACTGGGCCCAAAGGATAAAGACTAAAAGTTACGTAATTTTTGACAGCTAAATTTACTGTCCTTATGAAATGCTCTAATGGTGTATGGGTGCTAAAGACTTTGTAACTTGCCGGTGTC